TTAACAAATGGTAAACACCACAGCGTACACTATTGAGTTATGGATGCACGCGGGAGGTTGCTAAGCACGAAAGAAGCGTAAGAGTCGCTCGAGGCGATAGCCGAGAGCGACTCTAGCTTCTTGAGTGCTTAGCAAACCTCCCAAGTGCATCCATAACTCAATAGTGTACGCTGTGGTGTTTACCATTTGTTTTATAACATAACATTGATACATTGTAGCTAAAGAGTTCCCTTTTATTTAACAAATCTTACGCGACCAGAAAAAACAAGCGCGTGCGTAAAAATAGTCTTTGCATTTGCTCACGTCAGCAGCGTACACCCATGGGCAAATGGGGGATGCTAAATTGACCAATCAGAGCGCGCGCTTTACTTTGGTTGTGTTATAAAACAAAATAGAGACTTTAAAAAAGATCAGTATAGATGATAAGGAATACAGAATTGAATATTTTTTGTAAGGGAATTGGAAATTCCTGTCACAGTTAGTGGCATTATGAGGACCAGCCAACCAGGAGTATGTATGTATCTGGTGTAAGTGCCCAAGGGAGGATAGGTGGGACACCAGAAAAACATGGTCATTTCAGGATCCTTCATCAGGAGCAAGATCTCTGGAAGAGATATCCTTGCAGTCAAAGAGAAAGCAATTAAATTGCAAAAATAACCAACTATTTTCATTAATTCCTTTAGACTATGTTATAATTGACACGTTACAGGGAGGTATATCCCTGCAAAGGACTGTGAGTTTAATTATTGTTATTGTGAGGTGGGCAATGGCTTCCAAATACATGGAAACCCCATGTGAAAATAGTCATGCACTTGTTTGATGTTGGGCATATAACCCATAATGTTTTCCTGGCTATTTATTCACTAGGTTTGACTGACATAAATTTAACAATAACTGTTGTGGTAATTCTGTCAAAACATTTTAAGCTAAATTGGTTTCCTGGCTATTTACTCACTAGGGTTGACTGTATAATTTAATAACTGTTGTGGTAATTCTGTCTAATTATTTTTAGCTAAATTGGTTTGAAATCTGGATATTTTAGACCATGGTGACTTATCAGCATACAAAAGTAACCAAAATGACTTTTGCAAGGCATTATGTAAATATTTTTAAAGTTTATGGAGAGATTGTTGCTAACTTTGATTTTATCACTTCAGTCAAATATTTTTCGGTCGCAATTTTTTTTCTGCCAATTTTTCTGGAGTCGCTTTAAGTCGCCTTAAATCACCCAAAGTCGCCCAAAGTTACGGCGACTTAATTAAGGCCCCATAGTAGGCCTACAATCCCTAAACAGCTAAACAAAGCTGCAAATTTGATGTCTGAGTAATATGGCGGCACAATCAATAAATGCATGGATAGAACATAGTCATTAAAGTAAAATGCATATAAATAAGTGTGACCAGGCTCACAATTGTGCATGACATTGCAATATTTTTTTTGTTATAATTTTAGAATTACATCTTCAGAAACTATTTCCTATGATAACCAAATTATCACACACACACAGGATTTGCATCATAAATTTCCTTTAAGTCGCACCATCACACCTAACTATTTCCTATGATAACCAAATTATCATAC